CCAAGAGACAACAGCGGCAAGTTCTTGTGTCTTGCTACTCAGCTGCAGGGTGGGCAGCAACCCTTGCTGGCTTGCTTTCCTCCTTTGCCAGCCATATGACAACCCTAAAACAGATCTTCCCTATATAATTCAAAGGAAACAGGCTTATTCTAGAGAGCTAGCCTTGAGGAACGTCTTGGAGATCTCAGCCTCCTTCTAAGCAAGAACTCTTAAAAACATTTTTAAGTTTTCACCTTTGTGTCATTCTAATTACCCAGCATGTTCCAAAGCACCCAGATTTGCCTGTACCCCTTCACTCTGGAGCATTAGTCACAGACAAATTTAACACTGCATTCACTACAGTTCTCTTCCTCTTTCTCCTTCCCACACATTCCTGTCCTAGGGGAACACTCCTTTTATAAAGATCTTCAGGGACAAAACAATTATCCCTAGAAGGAAGAGCAAAAGCCAGTGAAAGTGAACAGAAAGGAGGCAAGTGACAAAGGTTTGTGCCTTGCCTTGCTCAGATTTTGGGGGCCTGCCAGCTAAGGAAGCAGAGTCTCTGAATTCTCCCTCAGTGGGGAGTTACAGAGATGACTCAAAAGGCTAGACGAATAAAACATTGTTCAAGTTTGTAAAAGTCCAGAAAAAAAAAAAAAAAGTATTTTTTGAGCCTTCCTCTTTCTGCTTACTGGGAGATGAAATGAGAACTGGATACTAGCCCCAATGGCTCGTGGTTTATTTAACTTGGAACTGCTGGGTTTTTATATTAAAAAAACCTATTATTTTACCTGTCTGGTCCACCTACAGAAAAGAACAGGTTTGTAAAATTCAAAGTTTCTTGCAAGATTTTATTTTGGTATTAGTACATGTATAATTATATATAAAAGTTCATATATAAAAATGCATGCATATATAAATATATAATTGTATGTATGTGCAAGTATGAAAATAAACTTAATTATATATACTGACAGAATCCCCCAAAGGCTTCATAGTTTCTCCATGTTCTCTCATTTCCATGGGGTTAGGGGATCACTTTTGAATGTGTCACTGCATTTCACATGTGTACTGTACATGTGTTCTGTTGCCTCAGCACCTCCCCCCCAGTATTTTGGTATCAGAGAAAGAAAGAGCCATTGCCACCAAAAATCAGTTACTGTTGAATATGTAAAAACACATTATTCCAGGCAAAACACAAGCCTTGAGAGAGGAAAAGCTACTCAACTAGACGTGGGGGGTGGGGGGACATTCAGATTAGTTTTAGCTCACTGCAACCCTGTGAGCAGACCTAAGTTTAACAGAGGCCCAGAGGATTCAAAGCCCAAGTCAAGAACAATAACTCACTTCATGTCAAAGCCCAGTGGAGATATTTCTTTTGACAGCTCCTGTTTCATGGTCCCAGTGAGCTTACTGGCTTCCTGCATGGGCACACGAGCCTGACTCCTCCCATTCACCCCA